ATACTTTTGGGTGTCTTGCACGGATTAATTTGATTTCCATTATTTCTTATGGGGAAAATTGGTTCGCTTTTTGATAATTTTGGTTTACGATGAGCTCTCAGGAACGGATTAATATCGCAAACTGGGGGTCCACTTTACTATTATTATTATTATATTGTACAGTGGTCCCTCGTTTATCGTCCTTAATCCGTTCCTGGAAGTGGGACTATTATCAAAATAGACGATTTTCGAATCAATTTTCCCCATAAGAAATAACGTAAATACAATTAATCCGTTCCTGACACCCAGAAGTATTAAAACAAAAATATTTTTTACATGAAATATAGATGTAGTACATAAACAATACAATGGGACATGATGAATGAAACATTAACAGCATAACATTTACCTTCATTGGCAATTCTTCTTTGTGTATGGAAGACAGGAGGAGGAGAGAGATTGCATTACTGTTTGGAAGGGGAATCCCCTTCTATCAACACCTCAGGTACCAAGTGCTTTTCTGGGGTTACTTCTCTTCTCTGTTTCTTAATGCCACTAGGACCAGCTTGAGTCACTGGAGTCCTGTCTCGCATAAAAACTGTCCAGACAGCTCTGTTTCTGGCATCGCTTTAAAACTTTCCTAAAATGGGCCAAGACTCTGTCACTGTACAAATTGCTGATATGGCTTGTAACTTCCTTCTCTGGGTGATGTTTCTCCACATTTCAAAAATCTCCTCAATTTCTGAAGAAGGCACCTTCTTCCATCTCTCTTCCTCCTCCTCTGTAGCAAGATTCTGAGCTGCGATCTGTTGCTGTTCCTGCTGAAGCTCTTGCAGCTCCTCAGTGGTTAGCTCTTCGTTGTGGTCCTCCACCAACTCTTCCACATCCTCTAAACTCACATCCAACCATATGGAACCCTCCAATGCCACAATAGAGTTCACAAGTGACATAGGCTCATCAGACCCTTCAAAATCCCTCTTGTGGACGCAATCTAGCCACAAGTTTCTCCAAGCAGAGTTCAAAGTCCTGGTAGTCACTCTCTCCCAAGCCTTATCTATAAGGCTTATGCAATGGAGAATACTGAAGTGTTCTTTCCAAAAATCTCTTAGGGTCAAGTGAGTGTCTGAGGTCACATTAACCCTTAAACTGTCCAAACAAATTTAAGTTCACATGTGTGGTGCTCCAAAAGTAGATCTACGTTTTTTTACATATTTTTCAATATGTATAACAAAAAAAAAAGTAGATAAAAGTTTTTTTACACGTTTTCAAATGTAAAAAAAAGAAAAGATCTTCATTTTTTTACATACTTTCAAATGTTGAAAAAACGTAGATCTACGTTTGGACAGTTTAAGGGTTAAAGCACCTTTCAAACATTGCTTTGGTGTAGAGTTTTTTAAAGTTTGAAATGACCTGCTGGTCCATGGGCTGGAGGAGAGGAGTGGCATTTGGGGGCAAGAACTTTACTGTGGTGAACCCAAACTCCTTCAGAATTAGGTCATCCAAGTTTGGAGGATGAGTAGGTGCATTGTCCATTACTAGGAGGCACTTCAGATCCAATTTCTTTTCCAGGAGGTAATTCTTCACACTAGGGCCAAACACTTCACTCAACCACTCGATGAAAATTTCCCTCGTGACCCATGCCTTATTATTAGATCTCCAAAACAAACACAATTTACTCTTCATAACATTGTTTTTCTTGAACACTCTGGGATTTTCAGAATGGTACACTAGTAACAGCTTCACTTTGAAAACCCCACTAGCATTAGCACAGAACATGAGCGTCAGCCTGTCTTTCACAGGCTTGTGTCCTGGCAGTGCCTTTTCCTCCTGAGTAATGTAGGTCCTCTTTGGAATTTTCTTCCAAAAGAGGCCTGTTTCGTCACAACTGAACACCTGTTCAGGTTTCAGTCTTTCACTGTCTATGTACTCCTTGAATTCATGCACATATTTTTCAGCCGCTTTTTGGTCCAAACTGGCAGCCTCACCAAGCCTTATCACACTGTGTATGCCAGTACGCTTCTTAAATCTCTCAAACCAGCCTTTGCTGGCCTTAATTCACTCGCATCACTAGTTGCAGGCAATTTCTTTACCAAACCGTCATGCAACTGCCTAGCCTTTTCACAAATAATCGAAGTCATAAGAGTATCTCCTGCTAATTATTTCTCGTTTATCCACATCAATAATAACTTCTCAACATCTTCGAGTACTGGTGATCTCATTTTTGTCAGCATATTTACCCCCTTTGCAACAACAGCTTCCTTGATTTCCTTTTTCTTGGCCACGATGGAAGATATGGTTGTACAGGATTTGTTATACATCCTGGCCAGTTCACCCACATGTACGCCACTTTCATATTGTTCAATGATGTTTTTCTTAAATTCAATCGTATTTCTCACCTTCTTTGCCAAAGGCTTGGCACTAGGAGCTTTCTTTGGAGCCATGGTAGCTTATTTAGCACTTGCAAGTACAGTGGACCCCCGGTTTACGATCAGCTCCCAATGCGACCAATTATGTAAGTGTATTTATGTAAGTGCGTTTGTATGTGTATGTTTGGGGGTCTGAAATGGACTAATCTAATTCACAATATTCCTTATGGGAACAAATTCGGTCAGTACTGGCACCTGAACATACTTCTGGAATGAAATAATATCGTAAACCGGGGGTCCACTGTACTAAAATGAATGGAATATTATGAAATATTTCGTATGAACAAGTGAGGGAACCGTTGCTCACTGGTAAACAATGGCACACTGGCTGGGAAGGGAGGCCGAGGCGGCTCAGAGCGTGAGTACGCGTCCAGGACGAAAGACGATTAGCGAGTCAATGGACCATTTGCGAGCCAATGTTTGGATGAAATAACGCAATGATTTCCGAAAAGGACAACTATCGAGCCGGACGATTATTGAGGGACCACTGTATTATTATTATAATAATAATAATAATTTTTTTTTTTTTTTCAACAAGTCGGCCGTCTCCCACCGAGGCAGGGTGACCCAAAAAAGAAAGAAAATCCCCAAAAAGAAAATACTTTCATCATCATTCAACACTTTCACCACACTCACACATTATCACTGTTTTTGCAGAGGTGCTCAGAATACAACAGTTTAGAAGCATATACGTATAAAGATACACAACACGTCATTTAGCACGAGCTTATTTGGCACAATTCGGGTATAGCACAACTGAAGAATTGCGTCACAATTTTGAGTAAACACGTAAAATTAATTTATCACGGTTCAGTTTGCGGGAAGGAAAAAAAAATTCCCTTTTCCTCAAGCAGCCGCCTTGTTGTGGAATCAGCAGGGGAGACCTCCCGCCATTCCCTGCCACCCCCCGACATCACCCCACCATCCCAGCATTCGTACTTCATACGCATTCAGTCTTTCTCTGCTACAAGTTAGCTCTGTTTGTGAATTGTGATCTGATCTTTTAATTACTATGTCTTGTATCTGCTAAGCAATCATGACACCCAGCAGGCATACCATTGTTGCTGAAAGTAGCAAGAAAAGGTATAAGGATTTAAGTCTTAGAATTAACAAAGAAAACAAAGATATTAGACAAGAAATAACCTGGCATAATGAAGTGTTACTTTGTGCACATAAAAAGAGGTAAATGTAAGTCTGTGTGACTGACTGACTTACTGAATGACTGACTTACTGAATGATTGACTTACTGAATGACTTACTGACTTGAATGAATAGCTTAATGACTTGACAGAATAACTTACTGACTTGAAAGACAGACACACACAGGCAGACAGAAAGACAGACACACACAGGCAGACAGAAAGACCGACACACAGGCAGACAGAAAAACAGAAGCATACAGGTAGACAGAAAAACAGATAAGCAGAGCTAGGCAGACAGATAGACAGACAGACAGACAGACATACATGTTTGTGTGAAATAGTAAAAACAAATAAAGCCAGGGTTCCCTGCAGCAGTGCATGATCATCAAGTGTCACTCACTCCATTCCTGCACTGTCAGCAGTTTAGTGACACTCATCATAACACCATGCTTCAAAGAGTTTCATATATACTCCAGCATGTCTAAAACATTGCCGAGACCTATAAATACTTTGTATATATTTCTTGACAATAGTAAATGACCAAGGCAGGTGGAAATATTCACCTGTCTGTGTGATTGTGACTATTTGAGTACTATTTCAGTAACTAATATTAGTGTCAGAACAAAGATTGGCTATGAAATCACAAGAACTATTATAAATTGTAATGATCAGAACATAAAATTTTCTTTCTTCTTTCAAAGTACCAGCCATATCCCACCGAGGCAGGGTTGCCCAAAAGGAAAAAGGAAGTTTCTTCTTTTAAATTTAGTAATATATTCAAGAGAAGGGGTTACTAGCCCCTTGCTCCTGGCATTTTAGTCGCTTATGGCTTATGGATGAAGAATTCTGTTTCACTTCCCCATGGAGATAAGAGGAAATAAACAAGAACAAGAACTAGAAAGAAAATAGAAGAAAACCCAGAGAGGTATGTATATATATACTTGTACATGTATGTGTAGTGTGACCTAAGTGTAAGTAGAGGTAGCAAGATGTACCTGAAATCTTGAATGTTTATGAGACAGAAAAAAGACACCAGCAATCCTACCATCATGTACAACAGTTACAGGCTTTCGTTTTACACTCACTTGGCAGGACGGTAGTACCTCCCTGGACGGCTGCTGTCTACCAACCTACTACCTAGAGCATAAAAATTATATAAATTAAAATAAAAACGAGAAAAAAGGTATATTAGCAACACTTCAGCAAACAGCAGTACTCCATGTTGCCGACACCTGTTTATTCAGCGCCAACTTCACGGGTTTATATCTCACTAAGTACTGACCCTAAATTTTTTTTTATCCTAAAACACGTAGAATAATGCGCTCTTCATTTAAAAAAAAAAATCAAAATATTCGGAGCACTGGGCAAGAAAACGTAGATCTACATTAGGACAGTTTAAGATTAAAATTGTGCAGTTGTAGCTTTAACCCTGACAAATAACCAAACTACTGACCTGGCAAGCCATTAGATTTTTATTGGAAGGAGACCCAGGTGGAATGAGACTGAGCCAATTGCATAGCCATTTTCTTGATAAGTCCAAATAGGTGTGGCCACCTCCCATATGACATATCTGGAATTAAAATATGGTATTGTACATATAACAAATATCTGATTATGCAGAGGCTGTGGAAAATATGTTTTTCTACTGCATTATAAAAACCTGACATCTGAATTCAGCTATCCCATAACACTGACAGTGCCTGCTAATAGATATTAATTACAGTGGACCCCTGGTATTCGATGGCATCGGTATTCGATAAATCCAGTATTCGATGCATTATATCGCAAAAATTTTGCCTCGGTATCCGATCGAAAACCCGGTATTCGATACGATTCGTACGAGACGTGTCCACGTGTGGCCTGAACTGCCCCATGTGTGACAGTGTTTACAAGCCAGCCAGTGTGCGTGCATCTAAGGATACATTCAGTACATTCCACATTATCACTGTTTTTGGTGCTTGTTTCTGCAAAATAAGTCACCATGGGCCCCAAGAAAGCTTCTAGTGCCAACCCTTCAAGAAAAAAGGTGCTAATGACTATTGAAATGAAGAAAGAGATAATTGCAAAGTACGAAAGTGGAGTGTGTGTGTCGGAGCTGGTCAGGTTGTATTAATAAACCCCAATCAACCATCTCTACTATAGTGACCAGGAAAACGGCAATCAAGGAAGCTGTTCTTGCAAAAGGTGCAACTGTGATCACGAAACAGCGACCGCAAGTGTTAGAAAATGTTGAGAGACTGTTATTGGTGTGGATAAATGAAAAACAGAAAGCAGGAGATAGCATCTCTCAAGTGATCATTTGTGAAAAGGCTAGGCAGTTGCATGACGATTTGGTAAAGAAATTGCCTGCAACTAGTGGTGATGTGATTGAATTTAAGGCCAGCAAAGGTTGGTTTGAAAGATTTAAGAATCGTAGTGACATACATAGGTGATTAGGCATGGTGAGGCTGCCAGTTCAGACCAAAAAGCAGCTGAAAAATATGTGAAGGAATTCAAGGAGTACATAGACAGTGAAGACTTGAAACCTGAACAAGTGTTTAATTGCAACGAAACAGGCCTGTTTTGGATGAAAATGTCAAGCAGGACCTACATTACTCAGGAGGAAAAGACACTCCCAGGACATAAGCCTATGAAAGACAGGCTTACTCTGTTGATGTGTGCCAATGCTAGTGGTGATTGCAAAGTGAAGCCTTTATTGGTGTATCACTCTGAAACTCCCAGAGTGTTCAGGAAAAACAATGTCCTCAAGGCTAATTTGTGTGTGCTGTGGAGGGCAAACAGTAAGGCATGGGTCACTAGGGACTTTTTCTATGACTGGTTACACCATGCATTTGCCCCCACTGTGAAAAATTACCTAATTGAAAAGAAATTAGACCTTAAGTGCCTCCTGGTATTAGACAATGCCCCTGGTCATCCTACAGACGTGGCAGAGTGACTTTCTGGGGACATGAGCTTCATTAAGGTCAAGTTTTTGCCTCCTAATACCACTCCTCTCCTGCAGCCCATGGACCAGCAGGTCATTGCAAACTTCAAGAAACTGTACACAAAAGCTATGTTTGAAAGGTGCTTTGTAGTCACCACAGAAACTCAACTGACTATAAAAGAGTTTTGGAAGGATCACTTTAATATCCTCAATTGCATAAACCTTATAGGTATGGCTTGGGAGGGAGTGATTAAGAGGACCTTGAACTCTGCTTGGAAAAAACTGTGGCCAGAATGTGTAGACAAAAGGGATTTTGAAGGATTTGAGGCTAACCCTGAGAAGCCTATGCCAGTTGAAGAATCCATTGTGGCATTGGGGAAGTCCTTAGGGTTGGAGGTTAGTAGGGAGGATGTGGAAGAGTTGGTGAAGGAGGATAATGAAGAACTAACCACTGATGAGCTGCTAGATCATCTTCAACAGCAAGAGGCCACACCTGCGGAAACTGCTTCGGAGGAGGGGATAGAGAAATTGAAGAAGTAGCCTACTTCACAGATTAAGGAAATGTGTGCAATGTGGCTTAAAGTGCAAACCTTTTTTGATGACAATCACCCTAATACAGCTATTGCAAGCCATGCTGGTGACTATTACACTGACAATGTTGTGAAAAACTTTAGGAATGTCATAAAGGAACGGGAGGCACAGGCCACTGTGGACAGATATGTTGTGCGACAGAAGTCCAGTGACTCTCAAGCTGGTCCTAGTGACATTAAAAGAAGAAGGGAAGTAACCCCGGAAAAGGACTTGCTACCTCAAGTCCTAATGGAAGGGGATTCCCCTTCTAAACACTAGCACCTCTCCCCTCCTCCCATCCCATCAATCATCACCAGATTTTCATTAAAGGTAAGTGTCAATTATTCTATTGTTATTGTTGTTATTGTAATTATTCTACTGCATTAAACTTAATATTTCATGTAGTAAAATTTTTTTTTTCATACTTTTGGGAGTCTTGCACGGATTAATTTGATTTCCATTATTTCTTATGAGGAAAATTTATTCGCTTTTCGATATTTTCGGTATTCGATGAGCTCTCAGGAACGGATTAATATCGAATACTGGGGTCCACTGTACAATGTAAGCTACAGTATAGGTTTGTCAAGCTTTAAGCAAGGTACTTTGTGCAAAATTCACTATTACGCAAATCCCATTTCCGTTTGTAATTCCGTGTGATAAATATTCTTCATATGTGATATATGAGGTTCTCAAAACTTATGTAAGATTTTTATTATGTGAAAATAAGTGTTGGTAGCTCTCCATGGGAAAGCAAAACAGAATTTTTCCTCCCTAAGCCATGCATGTCGCTATAGGCAACTGAAATGCCGGGAGAAAGGGCTAGTAACCCCTTCTCCTGTATACATTAACCCTTTGAGGGTCAGTGCCATAGATCTACGGCTTTGCGTTGAGGGTCCAAATCGTAGATCTACACCATGAGCTCAGCCCACTCTGATAAGCTGTGAGTGGTAAATTAGGGCTTAGATATGAGAGAATAGATTTATGCGGTATGTGTGCACCACATAAAACAAATCCTGCAGCGCACAGTGCATGAGAGAAAAAAACTGAGACCGTAATTTTCGATTAAAACAGCAACTTTGCAGTGATTTTACGTATGTTTTTTTTAGTTGTATTTGCAATTTCTTGGTCTCATTTGATAGAATGGTAGATATATTACAGAAGTAGAGATGATTTTGATTGGTTTTAGTACGGAAAATGGCTTGAAACTGAGCTCAAAGTAGTGAAAATGTTAAATTTTTGCCGATGTTTAAGAATAAACAAATGACCTCACATGTCTAATACACGCCAGCTAGTGGGTCTAATATATGTTCACAAATGTGCTATTATTTATACAATTGTTACAATATTGCATGACAGTAAATCTTCTATTTTTTGGTTCGAAAAAAAATCATTATGTGAATTAAAAATCAAAATGGAATTCATTTGTAAAGCCAGAAAACGTAACTAATGAACAGAGAAAATGTTAGTTTAGTACCAGGAATGCCTGCATTGTTTATTCTGGACCCTATTTTAAAATAAGAATACTTTGAACTTAGTGATAAATTGGCCAAATTACTAATTTCCAATCACTTTATTTTGTAGTTGAAACAGTTGAGTTGGCGATTTCTTGTGCTCAATCGATAGAATAGAAGTAATACTAATGAAATAACTAAGAATTTGGTCAACTGGAATAAGGTAATTGGCCTAAAATGGGAGTCAAAGTCGGCAAAATCGCCAATGCATAAATATCACTGACACATCATAATTCGCGAGAGCATAATTTCGTCAATTTTCCATCAAATTTCGTACTTTTTGTTTTATTACCTTCAGAAAAAGATTCTCTACCATTTCAAAAGAAAAAATAACAATTATTTATTGAAAATTCTTGGACACTGGTGCGCACTTTGAAATTTGGCCTCTGGACCCTGAAAGGGTTAATAAAGTTAAAAAGATAAACTTTTGTTTTTCTTTTTGGGCCACCCTGCCTTGGTGGGCAGGGCTGGATTACCACATAGGGAAACTAGGCATTTGCCTAGGGCCCCGCGCATTTAGGGGCCCCAAGGTCCAAGGGGTTCAGGGGCTCATCCAAGACTGCGCACATGGTGCAAGTGCAAAGGGGTCCCTACATAAAAAGTTCAAGTGTTTGGAGAGTAAAACTGATTTTTAACCCTTTCAGGGTCCGTCCCGTAGATCTACGGCTTTACGTTCAGGGTCCAAACCGTAGATCTACGCCATGAGCTCAGCTCACTCTGATAAACTGTGAGTGGTACATTTGGGCCTAGATATGAGAGAATACATCTATGTGGTATGTGTGCACCACATAAAACAGATCCTGCAGCACACTGTGTATAATGAGAGAAAAAAAATGAAATCATGATTTTTCGATTAAAACAGCAACTTTGCAGTGTTTTTTCGTATGTTTTTTATAGTTGTATTTGCGATTTCTTGGTCTCATTTGATAGAATGGAAGACATATTACAGAAATAGAGATGATTTTGATTGGTTTTAGCATTGGAAATGGCTTGAAACTGAGCTCAAAGTAGCGGAAATGTTAAATTTTTGCCGATATTCAAGAGTAAACAAACGACCTCACACGTCTAATACACATCAGCTGGTGGGTCTAATATACATTCACAAATATGGTGATGATATTTATACAATTATTACAGTATTGCATAACAGTAAATCTTCTATTTTTTGGTGTGAATAAAAATTCATTATGTGAATAAAAAATCAAAATGGAATTTATTTGTAAAGCCTCAAAACATAACTAATGAACAGAGGAAATGTTAGTTTAGTGCCAGGAATACCTACATTGTTCATTCTGGACCCTATTTTGAAATTGGAATATTTTGAACTTTGTGTTAAATTGGCCAAATTAACAATTTCCGATCACTTTATTTTGTAGTTGAAACAGTTGACTTGGCGATTTCTTGTGCTCAATCGATAGAATAGAAGTAATACTAGTGAAATAGCTAAGAATTTGGTTGATTGGAATAATGTAATTGGCCTAAAATGGGAGTCAAAGTCGGCAAAATCGCCGATTCGTAAATATCGCTGACACATCAAAATTCGCGAGAGCATAATTTCGTCAATTT